TGTTTATCTAAAGAAGAGAGAGCAAGCTGAATATCTGCCTCGTGAGAAATTGACTGAGAAGCGTGGCTTGGAGGCATTGTAGGCAAAGGTGTGGTGGGTGCGCAAAGTTGGTAGGGTGACCGACTCGCTTGCCTGACCGACTCGCTTATCCGTCACGTTACTAGTGTTAAGTAATTAGCTATAGGTCTGTATAGATTATAACAGCTAGGTAGACTTAACCTATTTGCTAGTCTTATCTTATTAATATAAAGCAACAACTACAGTCCTTAAAATAAAAGGACTATAATAACAGAGACCTAATACTTCTATATCTAAACTAATACTAAGCTATTATAGCTTTAATATTTTAATATTGTTAAACTTAGAGAGTGTGTTGCAATAAGTTATAATCTGTTAATTAGCTAACAATGTTAGAGATGTAACAACTTATGTTTCAGGTAGTCTATATAGCACCCTGTCTTTTAACAATACAACTTTAGTAAACTCTTAATCTTTCCATTGCCTACATACGAGAAATATCGTCACATTGATCCTCCTAAAAGTTCATCTTACAGTCGAAGAACTGCAACAATGTATAAACTATCTGTCCGGCTTTTTCGAAAAAAAAAAAGTTTCGAGATGAAAATAAATATCTGTCTACCCCCGCGCTGCCGCGCTCATAACAATCTCCGTTCCTGAACCCTTCTCCCAGTCTCCATCCTTGAATGTATCCGCGTTGCCAGCCATAGCCCTTCGTAGTGCCCACTCCTGGAAAGTCGGTGCCACCTCTTCAAACTTGCCAATAGGTTTCAGTGGTACATCATTATTCGGACGTACAAAGTATGCCAAGCTATATCTAACAAAAGCATGTTGCTCACCAGGCGGAGTCAAGACTCGGTGGATGTTGCTCTTGAACTCGCCAGCGGACCACTTAACCATAGCATCGCCCAGGTTGACGAGGCAGCTCTTAGCCACTGGCTTTACCCACTTCCACCCAGCTCTCTGTCCAGGGACAACATTGTCTGAAAGATAGAGCTGGAGCCCTCCAATAGCATTGAAAAGGACAGTAAGTGTACCCCAATCGGTATGAGCCTGGAGGTTGGCGTTTTCTCCAGCCGATGCGGGGCACTTCAACAGGCGCACATGGGTGCCAGAATTATTGCTGTGACTATGGAGCTTAGGGAGATAGTTGGGGTCGGTGGGTTCGAGATTCATGTCGGTGGAAAGAATGTCTAATAGTTCGTTGGTGATGAACTTGCCGAGAGAGGAAAAGTTCCTCATCTCCGGGTAAGCAGCTCGAAGGACATCGTTGTATTTAGCCTTGGAGCGACCAAAGCCCTCGAGATCACCACAACCGATGTAGTACTGTTGATTGTTGTCCCTACGGCCGGACTTGTCTACGACGGACTTTCCTAATCCTTTGTAACTGGTGATCAAATTAGTGCAACGATTGAGAGCTATCATTCTTGAGATCACTCACCCAAGTAGAGAGTTACCATTAGAGAAAACATCATCTTCTAGAAGCGTTTCTTCTGGTAGAGCAAAAGTCCGCTGAGCAAGGAGAAACATCTCATTTGCAGCAGCTAGCATACTCATGCCATCTTCAGTATCAGAGAGATCAAGACGAATAAAGCCAAGGGTTTTGCATGCATCAATCACTTTCGTGATTTCAGCTGCGTCTCGAACAATGAGCTTCTTGAGTGATATCGGCTCGAAATCCACAACTTCCACATCAGTGGGAAAGGGGGGAATCTTGTCCCAGCCATTGATGATATCTGGGGCGAAATCATAGGGCGACATTCTGAATGGTTATGAAAATTTAAAATCGGAGTTCCCGCTGGAAATGAGTATTCAAAATTGTTTCAATGTCTGATTGGTTTTTGTCATCATTATATCCTGTGTTGTTCTTCCAAGCCCAGGGTGTTTCGGTACCCGAGATCTCAGAATATGGCCCTATCCGATAACGCACTAACTGCAACAACTTCATCTCGGATGCCGGGGCAAAGCCACATTTCGAATAATCACATCATAATTGTGTCATGGTGGCATGTGTTTATATTGCTGAATTGGGTTTATCTTAGCCCACAAACCGCGATCAGGTGTCCTAACAATGTCTTTGTCTATAACTGACCTATTTTCGGTCGAAGGCCTCGTGGCTGTCATCACTGGCGGTGGCACTGGAATAGGGCTTATGATAGCAAAAGCCCTTGAGCATAATGGTGCTATTGTCTACATTCTCGGGCGTCGCGAAGAGGTCTTGAAGAATGCATGCAAGCAAGAAAAGGTAGCCTACACACATACTCCCTCTCTCTTCAAAACCAAAAAAGCAGACAACTGATTCACTACATAGCACCAAAATTTACGCTATATTGTCGCCGATGTTACGGACAAGGTATCTCTTCAAAATGCCTGCAACACTGTTGAGAACGAAGTGGGCTACATCAACCTGCTAGTCAATAACTCAGGCATTATTGGACGATGGCATAATTCGATACCGAGACCGCAACCTTTCCCTCAACTCCCAGATAATTTTATTAGCAAAGAGGCAGGTAGCGACTTTACAAACGTTCGGGGCATCAGAGACTTTCTTTGGAAGGACGAACCTAGCGATTGGAGCAGTGTGTTCAACGTCAACGTGACGGGAATCTGGTTGACAACGATCGCATTTCTGGAACTGCTGGATGCCGGAAACAAGAGGAAAAACTTTGCTGCTCAGAGCCAAATAGTTACTATTGGAAGCATCGGTGCATTCCAACGACTTCTAGGTACATCGTTTTCTTACAATCCGAGCAAAGCAGCCGCAACTCATCTCGCAAAGATGTTCGCGACAAACTTTGCGCAGTGGGGAATTCGTTCGGTAAGTTTGATTCCATCCTTGCGTTGAACTACCTGTGGTATAATGCGACCTAACTCCCATTTTTACATTAAACAGAACGTTATCGCACCAGGTGTTTATCCCTCAGAGATATCCGCTGGCACGAACACAATGGACGAAAAGAATAGGAACCAGCTGCCCCCGAAGATATCACCAGCAGAGATTCCTCTTGAAAGATTTGGTGGCGAGCAGGACATGGCATCCGCAATACTATATCTGGCCAGCTGTGGCGCACGATATCTCAATGGGTGTGTGATCATAACCGATGGTGGAAGACTTGGAGTCGCTCCAGCAGTTGCTTAGATGCTTTTTGTGGACAATTCGTCTCTAATCAAAAAAATTTGTCAATTAGAATAATTACGAAAACCTCCAATGCATGTGCTGCAATGACCTGAGAACAAGATGCCCTTCCCGCGTTACTAGCTGGGCTACAGCACTTCCCTTGCCGCATAGAAAACGATCCGTACGCTGAAGTAGCTGTTCGTTTTGCCTCTTCGCTGATATGTTATCAAAACGAGGATTGCTTACAATACGCCATCAGACTTCCTCAACATCACGATTTTAATTTATGATAGCTCACCCTATTAACAAGACCAGTTTTTGATTGTTAATAGAGCTCCAGGCGCAATTTTTAATGCTGCTACTAAAACAGTTATCTTGTTGCGTCCGATAGTCGATTTTCACTACCCTACAATTTTATCGGATACTTTGCTCTTAGCGCCTTCCCGTTCCTCGTAATGACCCAGATGAAAGGGATCGCAACAATCGAAAGAAACCCGAGAAGTGAATTTCCCCAGCCAAGTCCCAGTTTCTGATCTGTTGTCTTATTAGTCTGACTTGATCTCAAAAGATATTAAGGCTGTGAAGAGGAACAGTTGATCACTTACACATGTCTGGAGCGACTACCGGCAAAAATGTGCCAACAACATTTCGAGAAGATACTAAAATAGCTGTCGCACTAGCTGAGACTTGTGGGAAAGCTTCAATCATGTAGCTTTGAATAGGCAAGAAGATGCCAACCAGACCGATGCCAAAAGGCAAGAGGCCCACCACAGAGATTGCCCAGTGCACACCCTTGTCAGCCGCCCATCCGTACCAGAAAAAAGTCATTGGTACTAAAAACCCCAGGATTTTGCAGACCTCGAGCCTCATTTCTGGCTCGAAAATGTCATTGTTAGCCCTGAGGGACTTTTTCAACAGGGCAGCAGACAATACGCCGTGCACTGCAAGCCCAATGAAAAACCCGACGCCAATTGAAATGTACACCAGACTTGATTGACTTATTGACCATCCATATTTTGAAGTAAAGACACTGCTAATAGTTGTAAAGAGCAGGTACAGAAGTCCATATACATAGGCCATGTAAAGGCAGAGAATGGCACTCACCGGCGAGCGAAAAAGCAACTGCGTCATTGTTCTTAGTTGCGTCTGTTATAAGATCGGGTGATAATGATCACTTACCTTCCAAGGTCGTACCACTGGCAGTATGAGTTCATAAAATGATAACTTGCTATGGCTTTGGTCCGCTTCGCTTCGTGGGACTAGGGTAGGATTGATTTTCTGCAACTGTTCACTTTTCCGCTGTAGTATGATCTCTGCATTCGACTCTTTCACCGAAAAGAAAGTCACAACTATGGATATCATGGACGTGATAAACATGAAGTAGTAAATCTGATTGGAATATAAGTCGAGCGATTCAAAAACAACATTTTTTACTCACTGCTCGCCAACCCAAGCCTTCACCTAAGTAAGCGCCTACAATGGGCCCTACTATTGGGCCCAATAGAGGGCCTATAGCAAAAATCGTCAATGCGAGTCCTCGATCATCGCGATCAAAGATATCCGATATGATGCCGCCGCCAATTGATAAGCAGCCTGAGCCACCAAATCCCGCCAGAAAACGGAAAGCCATCTGCATTTGTATGCTCGTAGACAAGGCGCAACCGAGTTGCCAGATCGAGAATATGAAGGTGGAAAGTAAGAGTATCTGTATGCCATTAGTCACACAACTGAGCACAATCCAATTGCGATATGGCACTTGCAGGACGACGACCATAAACTTCACTCAAGCGGCCGAAAAAAAGTGATCCTACCTAGTCGACCAAATATAAGCATTAAAATAGTCCGTCTAGCTGAATATGATCAAGACTTACTACGTAGCCGAGAATAAAGAAAGTAACTACAAGAACAGAAAGTGTTTCTGAATCATTTTTCAAGCTCTTGTTGATAAGACTTATCGCCGGTGCAATCATTGAGGAGGCTAGCGGGCTGGAATTATTAGCACACCAGTGATTGGTATAAGTAGGGTTAAGTATCATCAAACCTTATGAAAGCAATAAACGAAACTACAGACAAGACAACCCATTTTTTGTACGATTTCCAATTCCTAGTGAAGAGATTAGTAGCAGAAACGACTTCGAATGCTTTGCATTCCTTACCTGGGGTTTTCTGGGTCATGATCGCTGTCCCAAGTCACTAGATTACGCGTAGGGGATGTTTCTGAATCTTTCATAATATTGCCCATGGGCTTGTTTTCTTGACTACGTCCCATTGCCGATTTAGTTTCTATAAGGTTATCAAGCTCTATAGGTAAATAACTAAGATATAGAATTATCTTAGTGTCTTTAATCGGGCCTTATTTTGCCTTGGAATCTAGGATGATAGAAAGCTCGGAACCCGGGCTCGGAACCCGACGCGCTTTTAACGTTAATGTTTACGGCGGCTTAGTAATTTCTGCAGAAACACCGAAATTGTGTATGCATATAGGCGGGCCATCCCTTTAAACCTCGATATACATGTATGTGGACTAATTCTGTTTCTACTTTTTCCTCCAGTACCGTAATTCTGTAGAAATGACGACAAAAGCAAAAACAGTTGTGATCACTGGGTAAGTCATAGCTTTACGGGTGTCCTCTTCGTTTCCTGACGACCACAGATGTAGTGCAAACAGCATCGGAGAGGCTTTGGCCTTTGAGTTTCATAGAAATGGTAAGATACCTCTTGCTCCCAAAACGAAAATTCACTGCTCAACATGCTTTCAGGTTACATGGTCTGCGCAACATGCCTTCCCAATGAACAATTAACAGAGATGGAGGCTCTCGGCATGATCTGCTGTCCTCTTGATGTTACAAATGATGACAGTGTTGCAAAATTCTCCGAATTTTTGCATGAGCATTATCGAGGGATAGATGTGTTGGTCAACTCAGCGTAAGCCTACAAACCAACCAGCAAACGCACATTAAAATGACTTATTGTGTTTGCAGTGGAATTAGTAAGAATATCTTAATCTCTGTTGGAGTTTACTAATTCCCGAAGACTATGTGATGCCTATTCTGGATCTTGATATGACTGAGTTGCGTCGTATTTTTGATATTAATGTGTTCGGAATGGTGCGGGTGACGCAAACTTTGTCAGACCTTTTGATCAAGAATCAAGGTACCATTATTAACATAGGATCGCTGGCCGCTTATACCCCTTATGTATTTGGAGGTTGAGCTCTGTTTATTGTTTTATCTGGGATAATGGGCTGATCACATACCCAGGTGCATACAATGGCAGTAAAGCCGCCCTTCTTGCCATGGGTAACACTCTCCGCATTGAACTCGGTCCGTTTGGGTATGTAAAATCTGCACCCTGACCTTCTCTAATTGGTGACTGATGTTTTCGTATTAGTGTCAAGGTTATGACGGTAACATTCTCAATTCCGTGACGATGTGTCAAACACTCGAATATTAATTCCGTTAAAGATTCTAGCTGGACCTATTGCAAGTGGTCTCATGACTCGCACTATACGCACTCTTCCCTCTTCGTCTCTATACCTCCCTGTGAAAGAAGAGTTTGAATCACGCATGTCACACAAGAGCCGTAAGTTTACTGAAAGTATTTTATTACGGACCGTAAAGATTAATTGGTTCTAGATGGCGTGGACACTCTTTCCAGAAGCAAGTTTGCAGAAGCAGTTGTTGCGAAGGTGGAAAAGCCTCCATTTAATTTCTGGATTGGTCCGTGGAACCGAGTAGTTTGGGTTTTGGAAACGTTTGGCCTGCTGAGTATCTGGGTACGTTGAATTTTTTTTTTCAACTAGAGCACCTCATTAACTCAAAACTAGGACAGGATATTCCGGAAAATGTTCAAATTGGACAAATTACGAAAAGCCAAGCTCTAGGGACAAAAGTAATGCATCGTAAAATTAAAGGGCGTAAACTTTTGAAATCTCCGTTCGATTAGTTTTCAACATAGAATAATTGTATGTACCCTGATATGTTGTTGAGCTGGGCGGACTAAGCTTTGAGTCATAGCCCCTTCTCCAATCCACTTGATGAAACCCAAATAAGGTTCTCTATGATTTTTTTTTAGCGCCGATTGAAGTGTGGGTGAGGAACGTTACAATCTGACATAAAATTTTATACGGCTTGGGTTAACCGTCTACAATACTCTGCCTGGTCCCGCGTAAAGTGGGGATTTCTAAGACGCACAAAAAATTTCCAATTTGATACTAATCTGCTCCTACTAGTGTAGCAGAACCATAAGAGACTTAGTACTGAAATTTTAAATTGGAAAAGACGAACGTTTCATGCTTGAAAAATACGGGATAAATACGAACAATAATCCCAAGATTGAATTCGATCTATGTATTATCATATCTACATTAGATAACAATTAGGACGGCTTGCTTGTATGTTATGAAACCTCCGACAAAAAACTCTTCAGAGCCTTCCTAGCCATCTTGGATGACGGAATGCGGTGGAATGGGGAAGAATAGGAGACGATACGTCCATCCGTGTCTGTGCAGCGCTCTATCAGGCGGACGCAGCGATCTTCGGTGACGATTGGGTCGTCAGAATTGATGAAGTGAAGTATTGGGGTCGAGATCTTGTTTTCGTAATAAGGCTGCAAGGCTTGGTGATGCTCGCGGTAACCGGAATAGGATACGATGAAATGAATGGGAGGGTGCGTCGTGTTGAAGAACGCCGGCCGATCCGCAGGCGGTCGTTCAAGAAGGCCAGCCACGATTGCAGCAAGTGCACCTCCTTGGGAGAACCCGATAAATCCATCGAAAGGTCCGTTTTTCTCCAGAATCTCAGCAACATACCGGAGGGTGGCATGTGTACGATCAAATTCGTCAATAGCTTTCATGTCCCACCACGAGCGAATGCGCATTCCAGACATGGTCTCTCCAGCGTCGAAGGGAGCCTCGACATACTCAAGTTTCGTCTCGGTTTTGAAAGTTTCTCCGATAATTTTTTGAACGGTGGATGTCTCGGTTCTGAAAATCTCAGCGTTCTGCTGGTACCCGTGGAGGAGGAGAATCTTGCGCGACATGGGTGAACAAAATAAGAAGTGAGGTTGACTCAAGAAGTAGAATTAAATTGATAGCTCAGGGTTTGAATTTCTCAAAGTTTGAAAAAGATGAATTGAACATAAATATTGAGGGATACTTCCAGTTGTATACTCTGCCCAGGCCATTTGGTTGTTGCCAAGATATCCAATTTCCGGCAGCGCGGAATTGACCTCAAATCCCAAGAACCGGGATTCGACAATGGCAGCCGGTATACCATGGATCCGTGTTGAATATGTGCCTATACTGCTCCGTCGTGATTCGTTACCCGCGCCATAGCACAGTGTTCTAGAGCAGATAGCCAAGCTTGATTTTTTTCAGACACCAATACAGAAATCTTAGTACCTTACGTTACCCTAGATTTGGGATGAGGTCGTCAACGAAGGAGACGACGAAGCAATTTCCCTCTCGGCTGCCGACAGCTTGTACGGAGGCCGATAGCCTAATTCACCGACAACTACTTTTTTGCTAAACCCTAAAACCCTAAACTTAAATAATTTATGTATGCAAGTAAATTAAGGGTTGCAACTAGTGAATTAAGAGTTAGAGTTACAAATTTATTCTATTATTCTATCTTAGAAGCTGTTGAATAGACTCTGTGCTAGCTAATAATTAGTATTAGCAAGTTTGTGCAAGGCAGAGTAATTGCAAAGTGTGCACAGCGTGCAGCAAAAGGTGTAGGCAAGTAACTAGTAGTTTATTGTCTGTCCTATCTATTGTACAAAGGAAAAGGGTTCTGTACCCTTTAACATATGCAGATGCGCGTACAAGAACAATGCATGTAACTCTACTTAAGTACGCAAACACTATTGTTTAGAGAGAAGCTCTTACTATATAAGAGTAGTTATTAATAAAGGAAAACTAAATAGAGGGGACAGTGTTAGACAAGAGCTTAAGTTTAAGCACTAATTTAATAGTAATAAGAAGAGTTACTTGCAGGGCTAGTTATAGAGCTAGGATACTTTAAGCTAGATAAGGCTATTTATACTAGCTATATATTACTATTAGTCTTAATAGAATAGGTTAAAGTATAGTTATTATAAATATAGTTAGAGTATATACTATTATAATAAAGAAATTTACTAGTATATTTATATGTAACGGGCTGAACGCCCTTCGCCTCCCATACTCGTCTACGACCTCGTTTACTACCTGCCCAGCCCGATTGTTACCCCAGCAACCAGCATTGTATATAGATAGCCACGTAGCCGAGAAGCTTAGCTCTCTATCGAATACAATCTCTTGTTACCTAGGCCTGTCCGTTTGTGCTTCCGAGCTTAAGACTACCCCACGGGGTTGAGCCCCTTACATTATATATAGTACTATAGTACTATAGTACTAGTAGAGGCTATTAGAGCTTTAGATAGTACTACATGAATAGATAAAAAGGCCTTAATATATAACTAATACTAAGAAAAAATAATATTAGTATTTATAATAAATATTAACGTGTTTCACCACCGAGTCGTCAACCCCACCGAGTCGTCAGCTCCACCACCACACCCCACCTTTGCAACAACAACGCGTGATGTCTCAACAACTTAACGTGCAACAAGCCTATAGTGAAGCAGATATTAACTTAGCTATTTAAAGTCTTACTTTACACCAGATCTAGACTGAAACACGCGCTGCTATTGTATATAGTGTCCCACGAACGATAATCCAAGAGCGACGCGCTAGACGACGCCCTCGACGCGATTGCGAGCCTAACTATAAGCGCCTAATAAAACTAGAAGAGGAGGCTATTACTAGGCGTATAATAGTTAAGGCTGAGCGAGGACTACCCTGTAGGAGAGACGACGTACGAGATATGGCTAATAGACTACTGCGAGAGCGCGGCGGGGAGGAGGTTAGTAAGAACTAGGTTGATAGGTTCGTCTAGCGCAATCCTAAGCTCCGTACGCGCCGGAGCCGTCTATACGATCACCAGCGAGCTCTCTACGAAGACCTAGCGCTTATTAAGGGCTAGTTTAAGCTAGTTCAGAATATAAAGGCGAAGTATAGTATTATAGATAAAGATATCTATAACTTTAATAAGACTAGCTTTATTATAAGTAAGATTTTATTATAGTTAGTTATTACAGGCTTAGACAAACTAGGAAGAATAAAGAAGATCTAGCTAGGTAATCGTAAGTAGGTTACGCTAATATAAGGCGTTGGCGCAATAGGCACGCGTATCCTAGCGTTTCTTATCTTTACTAGTAAGGTTCTAATCTCTACCTAGTTCATAGAGGATCTATCACGCGACTAGGTAATCTAAGTTAGTCCTACTAGCTAGATAAATAATAATCTAGCGCTTAACTAGCTTCGTTACTTTAATTCCTATGCGCGGCCTATAGGGACGCATAAGCTGCTCCTTATTAATAGCTATAAGAGCTACTACTTAGTAGCTTTCTAAGATCTCTATAAAGAGATAAAGATAATCCTCCTCTATATACCTCTCTACTTGTCGCACCTCTTATAGCCTCTTAATATAGACTACTTCTCGCCGTTAAAGCGGGCGTATAGTAATACTATCTTAGTCTTAGCACGTAATCATATCTACTATATTAGTAAAGAAACCTTCCTACTAGCGTTTAAATAGGCCTATTATAAAGCTATTATACTAGAGAATATCTATAGAGGGTTTTAAGGTGCTAGGCTTACTCTATATAATTATTACGTTATTTTATTATAGCTTAACGTCGTATTACGTACGCTGACTCCACCAGCGTAAGAGACTACTACCTAGGAGCCGAAAACGCCGCGCAACGCGCACGAAATAGAGGCGTAGGCTACGCTTATTCAAAACTATATATAAATCTAGCAAGGGTCTCCTATAAGTTCTCTTAAGGAGTAGATATAGCAGTTAAGTAAGGGAGCCTAGTAGATAGCTTATTATATAGTATTAATATAGGAGGAAATAAGTCGCCTATAAGACGCTATTAAAGCGTTAATAAAGTGAAAAACTCGTAAGCGGCGCTACGTATAAGTAGAGGGGTCCTAGATAGTTAGCTAGATAGCTAATTAGATCACTAAGGTAGAGGGTGATAGGTATAATGATAGTGCAACGTCTGTAAAGAGGGTGCGTAGTGAACGGCGCTGCGGGCGTTGTAGCCAAATTGGACACAACTCTCGCACCTACTAAGTAGAATTAGAAGATATAGAGGATAGCGACGCGTCTAAAGAATAATATCTTATTCTACTTAATACTTTTAATTATAGTGGTGTTGCGCAATATTATTACAAAGGTGGGGTGTGGTGGTGGAGCTGACGACTCGGTGGGGTTGACGACTCGGTGGTGAAACACGTTATTATATACTCTTAAATTATATTAAACTATACTACTAAATAGCCTAACTTATTAAGTAGCTTAAAATTTATTAGCTTTATCTTATCTTTTATAATATAAAATATCTTTATAACTAGATATAATTCTAGCTTAAGTTAAAGAGAGAATTTAGCTTGATTTTTAGGCCTATCTTTCTAGCTAATTTAAAAGCTTCTAATATACTGCTAAAGCCTTCTAAGATTCCTAATATATACTTTCTTAATATACTTAAAAAATAATATTTTAATATAAAATATACTTTACTAGTTAGAAGCTAACTTTATTAAAATAGTATATAATTACCTAATATATTTTTAACTTGGACTTATGACGATTTTTACTTTAGCTATAAAAGGTAGTAGATATAGTAGATAAACTACTAGAAGTATAAAGTTTAGAGCTAGTAGGTAAGTACTAAGCTAATTAATTTATATTATATTTAGATAAGCTTAAAATAGGATTTACTTAAGTAAAAAACTATTAAAGAAGTTTTTAGAAAAAATTTTAAGTTATAGGTAAATAGTTTAGGCTTATAGCTAATATAAAAGCTAAGTATAGTATCTAAGATAATAATATATATAACTTTAGTAAGAGTAAGTTCTAAATAAGTATAATTAGGTTAATAAAGGTTATTACTAGTTTAGAGAAATATACTTAACTAGATTTTATTTAGCTAGGTAATTATAAGTAGATTATAGTTATCTAAAGTATTTATACTATAGAGTATATCATTTTATATTTTATCATCTATAAAACTTATATCAATATCTATATATAGTATAAAAAAATAGATATACTAGGTAATTGAAAGTTTATAGTTTTAAAAACTAGCTAGATAAATAATAAGCTTAGTTTTAAGTAGTTTAAGTACTTTAATATATATATTAAAGAATAAAAAGTAGAGATATATTAGTTACTTATTTTAAATAAGTATAAAAGCTACTTTAACTAGGATTTTAAAAACTACTATAAAAAGAATAAGATTATAATAGTTTTTATACTTTTTTATTTATTATATATATTTTAGCTACTTAATATAGTCTACTTTTTACTATTAAAGTAGAAGTACTTTTAGTATATATAAGACTTAGTATACTAATATATCTTTTATATTTATAAAAAAAGCTGTTTACTAGTATTTAAAAATAGATTTTTATAAAAAAGCTTTTAAGGTAATAAAGCTAGTTTTCTTTAACTTATAAAGAGTTCTAGACTATTTTAAAGTATAATACTAGACTTTGCTAGTACCTCTTTAACTAGCTAAGCTATATTAGTTAAAAATACTAAGTAATATATATAAATTTAAATCTTAGTTATTTAGTATAGTATAGAAAAGCTTTTTTATACTTATAAAAGATACTTAATACATACTTTATAAGAATATACTCTAGAAAGTATATATCTATAAGCCTAAAAAGTAATTAAAAAAAAACTAAGTATAAATTATATAAAAAAAAATATTGAAAAAAAAGAAAAACTAGAGTACAGTAAGAAAGCTGCTTTAGTACCTAGGTTACTAAGTATAGCTTAGTTAAAAAAAAGCTTATAGTAATAAAAGTATTATAATATTATAATATAGAGTACTTTAAGCTTTATTTAGACTTTAATAAGTTTATAAAAAATAAAATAAGTTATATAATACTTTAATAGCTTAAGTATATAGTTTCTCTACTT